CCTCCGACCCCCCCCGACCCCGGGACCTGTCCCGGTGCTACCGGTCCCCACCGGGAGGAGAGGGTTGAGCGCACTCACCGCCTCGAAACCGGAGCAGCGGGCACATTCCTGCGTCACCACGAAGTCCTCCACCCTCCAGCACGGCGTGGTGGCCACCGGGCTCGCTGGAGGGGAAGCGCCGCCGCTGAGCACCGGGCCCAACCGGCAACTTAACGGGCCCAACCGGCAACTCAACGGGCCCAACCCGACCCCCACGACCTCCCTGACCCCCGCCCCGCACTCACCCGAGCGCTTTTCGTCGCTCGCCACCATCGCCGCCCCCACCGGCCTGAGGAGAGAGGAGAGACACCGTGAGGGCCGCGCTTGAGGCCTAGTTCCCCTCCCCGGGCCGTTCTTCCACCCCCGGGCCGCCTTTCCACACCCCCCGGGCCGCCCGCTCACCGCAGGCCGCAGACCAGGGCCCCCAAAACGGCGTAGAGGACGCAGCAACGCGGCCCGGCAGGGCCCCAAGGCCCCATCGCCGCGGCGGAACTACCGGACCGGTCCCGGCTTCTCCGGTGGCGCCGCCATCTTGAAGCGCGGGGGCCGCTGGGAGGAGCGGGGCATGACGGGAAAAGCGGGGGTGGGCGGGAGGAGGGGGTTACGGCGAGGGGGGCGGGGCGTAACGTGAAGCGGGGATGAGAGTGGGCGTGGCTCCGTGCGAAGGGGCCTGGTTTTCACTGAGGGGGCGTGGTTTTTGGACGAGGGCGTTGTATTGAGTTGGGGGCGGGGCTTCGAGCGAGGGGGCGTGGTTTCCGAACGAGAGGGCGTGGCTTTTGCGGCGAGGGGGCGTGGTTTTGGGGCGAGGGGGCGCGCTTTTGCCTGAAGGCGCCGCGCCGAGAAGGGGGCGTGGTTTCCGATCGAGGGGGCGTGGTTTTGCGGCGACGGGGCGCGCATTTGCCTGAGGGCGCCGCGCCGAGAAGCGGGCGTGGCTTTCCGAGCGAGGGGGCGTGGCTTCGAGCGACGGGGCGCGCTTTGGACTGAAGGCGCCGCGCCGAGTTGGGGGCGTGGTTTCCGAGCGAGGGGGG